CTTTCCCTCAATTCTTTCATGTCTTAACTTCAGGAAAGAATACATGGCAAGAAGGAACAGATCTATTAGTCTTGCTGCTTTTTGATTTTACCAGAAGGCCACTTAATTGTACGGGTTATATCTTAAAAATGCTATCATTTTAAGACCCTTACCATGTAATTTAATTTTTTTAGTGGAGAGTAAATCTTGGCTAACAACTTTACTCTTTACATTTTTTAACCCTTTACCATTGGGAGCAGCCTTCTCAAAACTAACAATGGAAAACTCAAAGAGAATTTATATACACAGATAGTAGAATTTGCTGTTCAATAATAATTATTGAGTATTTACTATATGCCTGGCATTTTGTGTGCCTGTCTCACTGAATTCTCAAAATAACTATGAAGAGAGAACTTTTCCTCTTCTTTTAAATTTTTTTTGCAGAGTAGTATTTTGAATTACATATTATTTGCCTACTGTTTATACTCTTAATTAAGGTGCTAAAAGATCTGTAATCACCAGGCATATTACATTATGTTACTAATATTAAATTTACTAAGGCAGAGAAAAATACACAAAATTTTTGTGTTACATACATATTTCTGTATTTGCATGATCCTTAGCTATTACAGCTAAGCCACACAGCACAGTTGAAATAATCCAGTCAGAGTGACATGATCAGTCAGCCTGTGCCAGTAGCCTCCATGGTCCAAGATCACTTTGCCAGTGATTCATCCTTGGAATGTTCTGGGCTAATGGCTCATCTACTTTCTCTCTCCCTGCCTTGAGTCATGGCTTTGATCCTAGGTTAAGTCAGAGAGCTGTTCTTACCTCTTTTATGTGTTTTTATTTGAATCTAACAGACTCATACTCATCACCCACTGATAAGTGCTGCTAATAACATTTTGGTGTATTTCTTTCTACTCTTTTGTATATAATTTTTATAAAATAGGGGTAATTTTAATTAGTAGAACTATTGTTGGAGAAGAGCAGGTTGTAGTCTTTTGTACAGGTACTTGTTAAAAATACAAAGAGGGTGAAGTGTTGGCAAGCAGGATTAGAAATGGATCTGATTTATGTTGGAGTTTCCACAGATGTACTGTGGTGATACAGTGATCCTTGGTGAATGTTACTGTTGACATGGTATGCAAGCCGTACACTGATTTGGAACATTTAAACTGTATGTGTGTGTGTGTGTGTGCGCACACATGCAAACGTAAGCACTCACATTGGCTTGTGGTGGTTCACAAGGCAGTATCTAACATAATGCAGTCAGATTTCCTAAAGGGGTGTGTTTTCTTTCAAGGTATTTTGATTACAACTATAGCCTCCAAGGGAGAATTGCAGAATTGGCCTGACCTCTTACCAAAACTCTGTAGCCTATTGGATTCTGAAGATTACAACACTTGTGAGGTAAGGATTTTTGCTTCATATATAATTTTTCTTTTCTATTTTTCTTTTCATGTTTATTAGTAATGTTGAGAAAAAATAATTCCTCTGAATCATATAACTTCAAAACTTAGAAGCCTAAAGTTACCTTTTTGTTTTCTGTTAGTGATCGTGTATCTTACTGTTTAAAGACCGTTAAGTTATAAAACCTCTTTACTATATTTCCTACAAGGAAATATCTTCTGATTTTTGTATTTTAAAACTATTCCTGGGTGTGTGTATACATGTAATCAGCAGAGCAATTGTCAAGCTTAATCAGGTGAAGTAGTATTTTTCGAAGATGGACTTTATTAAATTTACCAAATTCCCAGACTGTGGGTACATTTTCAGTGTCTCTAAGGTGTTTTTGTGCCTCTTGTTGTGTGGTATGTCTGAGGTATATGTAGTATAGTTTTTTGTTTATTTGTTTTTGCGGTACGCGGGCCTCTCACTGTCGTGGCCTCTCCCGTTGCGGAGCACAGGCTCCGGACGCGCAGGCTCAGTAGCCATGGCTCATGGGCCCAGCCGCTTCGCGGCATGTAGGATCTTCCCGGACCGGGGCACGAACCCGTGTCCCCTGCACCGGCAGGCGGACTCTCAACCACTGCGCCACCAGGGAAGCCCTGTAGTATAGTTTTAATTATATATTAATTATAATCTCTTGTTTGCCACTGATCAAATCAATAGCAACCTTTCCATTTGGGGAGATGAAAGGGAATCTGTATGGATTTGTTTTCCTATAATTTCTTACGTAATGAGTACCTTAACCATTTCTCATTAGCAGGCTTCCAGCTTGGATAGAAATCTGTTTTAAATAGAAATCATTTTAGGTGTTTTGCCTCTCTTAAGGCAGTGACTTATCTCTCTCTCAAAAAAGAGCAAGGCTTGGAGTCAGGGCAGGTACAAAAATAACCTAATAAAAAGGAATCAGGTGGTCTTTTTGACTTAACATTTTGTTGCCAGATCCGACTTGGGGAAGAGAGGACCAGGGAGAGGGAAAGCTGGCAAAAAGGAGTCTTAAAAAGTCACTCTTCTCCCTCCCTCAAAGAAAAAGAAAACAGTCTTGCATTCTCATATATACATTTTCTAGTAATGCCTTGGAAGGTTACAGAAAAACTAAAATAATAATATTTAGCCATCAGGTAACAGTTGATTAAAATTTAAATAGTGCTTTGGTATAATGATAACATAAAAGGAAGCCAAAATTTTAAGCAAGCACTTTCCAAGAATAAAAAGTTTAAACTGATAATCATGAAATTGTGGAGCTACTAAGTCATACAGTATTCTTAAATTAGCCTGTAGTGTAGAGAATAAGTCAAGATGCTGCTGATAGAATTATAAGCAGAGTAAAGTAGGTGGTTGAGGTAACTGGTAGGTTAGATATTATATACAGGAGCTCTCTAGGTAAGCCACTTGGTTGTAAAGTGGTTGTAGGGGAAATTACCAAATTGAATTGCCTGCCCTTTTAACAACTTCTGTCAATGAATGGTTTACATATAAGTAATTTTTTTATGATAATTAAGACCTCCATTTGTGCTTCAAAAAGAGAAGTGGTACAATGGTTAAATGCACTTATACGTAAGCATAGAGTTTTACATTGTTTTAACAAACTGGTATTTAATAAGAGAAAAATTAGTGTTGACGTAAAATTGGCAAGTATACTGCAGAAGTTAAGTTTTTAAATTAGATGATATTATTTACAGTCCCTGACGATCAAAATTCTAATTCTAAGAAATTTAATGCTAAAATTAAAATGTACCATTATATTTAAACTGAGGTTTTAAATAACTCAGTGGTATAATAAATTTCTCTTATAGCTGATGATTAAATGTATGGATTTTATGATGCAGGTTTTATGCGGACTGGGAACATTAATCCATACAAATTAGTTAATATTCCTCAATTTAATTTTAAAATGGCTTCATTTTTAATTCTAATCATTGAAATGTCTTTTACAGGGAGCATTTGGTGCCCTTCAGAAGATTTGTGAAGATTCTGCTGAGATTTTAGATAGTGATGTTTTAGATCGTCCTCTCAACATCATGATTCCTAAATTTTTACAGTTCTTCAAGCACAGTAGTCCAAAAATAAGGTATCTATATAGCCAATATTAAATTAATTTATAAACTCTGATGCGAACCTGACCACTCCCTTATTTTGCACTACCTAGTATTTTTGCAATCGGCAGAAGATAACTGGCTGTTCCATAGAGGTGGACTTGATAATTGAAATCTACTCCTCTAATGACAGCCTGTGAAATGTCACTCTGCTGAAATTTTCATTAACTATGACACTTCTCCACCATCTACATGGTTAATTACATTTATAATGGTTAACAGTCATGCTTTTAAAGTCCTTTGTGTGAGGCTGAAATTCAGTGTGTTGCAGAGCTTGTCGGGGTTGACACATACTGTGGAAAAATAGCGAGCATAAGGGGTTAGGTAGTGATTCACAGGTGTGTTATGCAGCACATTCTTTGTCACAGGCAGCAATTGTGCAGAAACCCTGAACAAAGTAAAGTAGCAAGGCTTTCTGAACGATCAAAGCCAAGATCACTTAAGAGGGAACAACAGTACAAAGTCCCTGGAGTTAGGAAGAAACCTTTTAGGGTGACAGAAGAAAACGATTTTGTAGCACAGTAGGAAATGAAGCTAGAGGGGTAGGGAGTAGCACGTTACAGGGGCGTGTTTACGCCAGTAATCGGCACACTGTGACCCGTGTGGCCAAATTAAGGCATGACTTATGAGCTACAAATGATTTCACAGTTTAAAAGGTTGAAGTGGGCGGGTGGGTAGTAAAGCTGCCACAGAGGTCTTATGTGGCCCACAAAGCTTAAAATATTTACCTTTTGACGTTTGGCAGGAATAGTAGATTCCTACTGGAGCAATCTGAACAAGGATATTATGTGATCTTATATGTGTGTCAAACAGGTAGTGGGGTTTTGCATAATGGGAATTGGGAAACCAGTTAGAGCCTCTTGGCATAGTCCCAATGGGAGATTATGGTTTGGACTAGAGGAGAACTGGAGGTAGTAAGTGATTAGATTATGGGTATATTTTTAACAGTAGTGCCATTAAGAATTGCTATGGGATTAGATTAGGTATGTCAGAACACATAGGCTGTAGAACAGTCCGCATTTTCAGTTTCAGAAGGAATGCATGCCCATTATTTTAAAATCTAAAATAATTCCCATTATGTCCCCATCCAACCTCCCACTCTTGAGAGCGAACATGTCCTTCCAGACGCTTTTCCACTTTCTTAGTAGCATTAACATATTGCTCCATAACGTGCATTTTTCACTTAACACGGAAAGAATGTGAAGGATATGTTTAATACATAGAGAATTTTGACTCATTCTTTTTAGGGTGTGTGCGTGTGCACACATGGCTGTACATACACTAATATTTTTATGGAGGAACGTTTAAATTCTTGCCAGTCTTCTGTAAATGGAGCAGAGCTTCTTCAATTAGTGTACTTTGAATTTTGTTTCTAGGTCTCATGCTGTTGCCTGTGTCAATCAGTTTATCATCAGTAGAACTCAAGCTCTGATGTTGCATATTGATTCCTTTATTGAGGTAAGATTTGTCCTCCCCCCACCCCACCTTATTTTTGAGGAGGTTAGAAAGTGTTCATTGCATGCAGTTTTATTTTATAAATACGATAATTTATAATTATGAGCTGTCAATATTTAAATTATTTCTGACAGTATTAAAATTTGGTACAGTATAAACTTTGTGATTCTCGTTAACTGAAAATAAAAGTACTTTTCCTCTCACTGAGTTTTCTACTTGTGCAAACATTGATTATGGTATGTCTGTGTTTAATATTTTGATTATAAAAATTTCTACCTCAATATACTGTTCAAATTGCATATGGAAATTAAATCTCCCAGCTCCTTTGTGATATTAGAAACATGAAGAGGTTGAATAAACTTAATTTGATAAAGAATCTGAAGGTATAAATTAAAAGGATAGTACTTCTCTCTTTCCATTGGTTTTCAGTGTAGAATGAGAAGTTTCAGGGGGGAGAATTGGCTGTTAAAGCTCAGCGAGCATTTCTAATGGTACTTTTTAACTTTTTGATAAAAGCAGAAAGACAACAGGAGCATAGTTTTTTGGCCATTGAACCCTAAGCAGTAGAATTTCTTTTCAGAACTTCTGCTTGATAACAGCGATTGTGAAAGGGTTATTAAAGTTCCTTAAGCACTTCACTTTTATTTTCATCAAATGAAATTTAAATAGTCTATTCCTTTTCAGCTCTTCTTTAAAAAAAAAAAAGTCCTTCAGAGACCATATTTCTGGTATTCCTGTTGGGAAATTACAAGAAAGAAGTGGGAGAAATTACGTCTTTTTTGTCTCATCACTTAAATTGGCAAGCTTCTTCTAAACATCTTTTACCAATAGACTACAAGTAGTAGCCATTAGAATCCTCAAGCCATTTGAAAATTGAAATGAAAACATGCATCTTAAATACATTTTACTGAATACCTACTGTGACTCAGGCACTGTGCTTGTTGCTAAGGATACATAAAGAAATTTTATGCTTCAAGGTGTTTTCAGTCTAGTTTGGTATAGAGGGTAGTGGACAGTATTAGAAGTCTGGAGTAAGACTGCCTGTGTTCAAATCCCAGCTCCACAGCTTAGTAGCTTGTTAACCTGGGGCACCTTATTTAACTTGTATTTTCAGTTTTTATAAAATAAAGCTAATAATAGACTTACCTTGTTGGATTGTTAAAAAAGGTATTGGCTAAAAATAAATTGGAACAGTGCCTGCTACAAAGTAAGCACTCCACATGCTAGCTACTGCTATTATTTTTAGAAGCAGTAGTAGTTTTTATTGTAATTATAATAGTATTCCCTCTTAGTGTTCTTCTCTCATGGCTTATTAAAGAGAACAGTAATAGACATACCAGCATCTTATACAGAAATATAATTTAGAGTAAAATAAATTCTTTCTGAAAATAAAAATTCCACAGGGCCATACACAGCAAGTGGAACAAGAACGTTTCCTGACATTTAATGATATTTTCCATTAGTGTTAAATACCATATTAACACTTCTGTGCTACTTGGTAATCCAGTAAGATTCACTCAGTTCTTCATCCTGTAAGAGTAGTAAACCTCCAGAGGAGGCACCTGACACATGGTAGGCTCTCAGTAACTATTTGCTAAATCAATAACTGGTTAGTTTTCTTCAGTCACCAGTGTTTTTATCGGGGGCTGAAATCATGCCTGCTACGTGTGCTGGTACTGATGAAAAGTGTATTGGTTACTAATACTTGGCTATAACATACCTTGGCAAAGCTGGGTATTCATACTTAAGACAACATCGTATTTCACGAAGGTTTTATATGAGCAGCACCTGCTGGAAAAACCTTATTCTTTCTGACCATGTAAAATTAAAAGAGCAGCTACGGAGTTTTGAAAGCCTCAGAAGTAGAGACAGGACTTGGAGAAATGAAAGTTTTAAAAATGCTACTACAACAGTACTTCACATATTGTCACATTTGATATTTAAGTTTTTCCATTGTCTTACCCATTTCTTGTAATATGATTTCAGGTTCATCTCTCTGGAGATGTTTCTGTGGTCCTGGGAAGAGACAATGAGACACATTGGATTTTACTTAATTATTTTAATCATCTTTTTACTGCTTTCAGTGTGTGTGTGTATGTTGTGTGTACATACAATAAAACATCAGGAGTGAGATAAGGAAGGCTTAATTGTTTTTTCTTCAGACATCTCCACTTGAACCTCTGCAAGAGACAGCTTTTTCTAGTGGAGGCTTGTTGGTATAATGAAATGAGTGTGGACTTACCCATGATTTCGTGAAAACCAAATTCAGATTCCCCCACTTGCTAGCAAGTTATATAACGTCTAAATTTGTAAAATTGAGTAGCAGCATCTTAGAGTTGAGACGGTTAATTGAAACAGTATTATTCATTCACACTTTTTTTTTTAAACCTTGTAGAGAAACTTAACAGCATAAGATCGATTGCTACTATTACCATTTTTTCAATAGTTGACTCAGTGAACGACAGCAGTTTAGGGTCACATTGTTGGAACTCTGTATATTTCCCAATTGTTGGTGCTTTTATAGAATGTATGCCTATTAAGAATTAGTATTGGTAGGAATAATCTCTTAACAGACAGTAATTTTGAAGTGTAAATCAAACTGTATTTTAATGATTATCTCTAATTCTGGGTGATCTGGGTGAATGCTCCTATGTCCTAGTGACATGGTTTTATTCTCATAAACTGAAGATTACTTCAAGATGCAACAACTCATACTCTGAAAAATGGCTTTAGATCATTTACCAAAATCATAGTTTTTGGCAGTTATCATCCTGCGTCTGTCTTATTTTATAATCTAATGCTATAAAGTATTAGTAGGGCCAGTTAATTCATAAGCCTTTATTTGTACAGTATCTTCTTAGGGTTTCTTTAAATGTTGCCACCTTGCAGATTATTGGTTATTATGTATAAACTTCTCTAGTATGTTGGAATACTTAACTAGAAGAAAATATTTCTTGTGCAATAGAATCTCTTTGCATTGGCTGGTGATGAAGAACCAGAGGTACGGAAGAATGTGTGCCGGGCACTTGTGATGTTGCTTGAAGTTCGAATGGATCGCCTGCTTCCTCACATGCATAATATAGTTGAGGTAATACAAGCAATTTAAAGGCTTTCTCCTCACCTTCCCCTCAAGAAAAATCTTGGGCACAAAATGTATAGGGTGAAGCCACTGTCTTCCAATTTATTTGTCACATTTGTTGGGGGGGGGGGACTATAAAAATTAGTTATCATCTTAAAGTTAAAAATTATCTTTATGGCGATTTTTCTTTCATGAGATATAAGACGTTACAGAGCGGAACGTTGTTTAAAGGAGTAAGATAGCTTTTAACCAGTGTAACTAGGAAATATTTAGTTTATTTGTATTTATTAGATATGGGTTAGGCCAATAAAACTATAGTACTTAAAAGAGTTTGTTTTTGACCCGTTAACTGGTAAATTGATCTGATCAACTTTTGATTTATGGTAACAGTGGTAACAATTTCTGAATAGAAAATACGTAACCATTATAGTGAGTTCTAGCAGACCATTTAGATTTTAAAAGGCTCTCTTTCAGTCCTTATGTGATTAAAATAATTTTACTAGGATATTGTAAGTATGTTGAGCACAGATAGTTGTAATTAAAGGAAGGAATACATCATAACATATAATTATTATTAGGACAAAGTAATTTGTTGGGCAATACTCATTATTGCTACAGTCATACCTGGTTTTCATATTGCTGAATATAGTTGTACTTAAAGGATGGCATCTAAGACCAGTTAGAAGGCTAGCATTGATGATGTTCAGTAACTCCTTTTCTAAAACATTAGGAAAGATAGTTGTAGTGATAAGGATATTTAGCAGCAAAAGATGGGGATAAATTACTTTCTCTTTGATAAAGATATTCTCTCTGTAAATTGTTTAGAAGAATCAGGTGGGGTTGGTTGAGAGTTTAGTGAGAGTTTGGGGTTAACCAGAAAGTTAAGAAAGACATATATAATCATTTGCCACATCACAGCTGGGGAACCTAATTTACAAGGCTACAGTTCTTTCTTCAGCAATACCCAGCGTAGTAGTAGAACATGGTAGGGGCTAGCCTGTCACAGCAGTTGTGTTGCTGTATTTTGACGTTTGAGATGTTTCATTGAAGAATTCATCACTTGACCCCAGATTCAGTCCCAGGTACATTGGGAATTCATGCCTTTGATTATGTTTATTTTGTTTTTGCATGTAAGGTTTTTTTTTGGGGGGGGGAGGGGTGGCCACGCTTTGCACCTTGCGTAATCTTAGTTCCCTGACCAGGGATCGAACCCAGGGCCCTGGCAGTGAGAGCGCCAAATCCTAACCACTGGGCTGCAGGGAATTCCTGGTATGTTAGACTTTTAAAAGAAGGGTAGATTTGGATAGATTTGGAGATCAGAAATGTTCCTCCAACTTAAGAGTGAATTTGGCTTGGTATGTTCAAAGGACACGAAGGACATGATAAACCTATTTTGTTGGCAACTAGAAATTATATAGTTGACAAAGAAATGCCACTACTTTTTTCCAAATTAAAAAAAATTAATTTTTGTAATTGTGTAATATCTATATATCTTTTTAAATATGTGGAAGTATATATACAGTTGACCCTTGAACAACACAGGTTTGAACTTCATGGGTCTACTCATACCCAGATTTCTTTTTACTGAATATGTACTGCAGTACTACACAACCCAAGATTGGTTGAATCTGCAGATGAGGAACTGGATACAGAGGAACCGTATATATAGAATGTTGGCTATAAGTTATAGGTGGATTTTTGACTGCTTGCAGGGTTGGCATGCCAATCTCACTGTTCAAGGGGTAATTGTAATTATAAGAGTCAGCTTGGGTGGTTATGTTATAAAAATGATTGTCCATTTTATGAATGGTTTAATGGTGTTTTTTATTTTGATGCATCTGTGAAGACAATGTTTGAATATTAATACTTTTTAAAAATCTCAGTGGTTTCATGAAACAATATACGCCTATATAGAAGCAGATAAATATGAATTGGACACTTTACATTAGGCAACATTCTAAAGCAGTAGTTCTTAAGTTTGGCTGCTTTTTAGAATTGATTAGGAAGCTTTTTTTAAAAAATCCAAAGCCTAAGTCTAGAACCACTGTAAAAGTGCAAGACCCATAGCAAAGGACAGTTAACTTGCTGAAATTAGATTAGGTTTATTTTAATTGTATGATTTAAACTGATTAATACTAAGCCTCCTTTGTTTACAGTACATGCTGCAGAGGACCCAAGATCAAGATGAAAATGTGGCTTTAGAAGCCTGCGAATTTTGGCTCACTTTGGCTGAGCAACCAATATGCAAAGATGTACTCATAAGGCATCTTCCCAAGTAAGTGCTCCTTCTTACAAATACTCCCTTGTTGTTAAATTTAGCAGTGATTCCTCATTTTCATATTTTTAGGTTACATTCTTATGCCATCAGGTAATGAAGTTCTAAAGAAGTAAGACTTAATTTTACCGATGCTATAAGTAAAGACATTTTTAAAGAAGCAATTACTTTTGTTTTCTAAATTACATGAGGGTGGTTTATGCTGAATTATAACTAATTTTGGATAATCCATGGCACAATTTTTTATAATCTTATAATTTGACTATGGGGTCTCATGGATTTCATATTAATTATTAATTATTAACTCATTAATTATTCTCTTCTCCCTGATTTGTGATTCCAGTTTTATGATATGCTTGTTTCTTACCATAGGATCATATAATCCTAAAAGTTATATAAACAGACATTAATTCTTATAAAACTGAAGAGATTTTATTAATGAAAACCTAAGCTGTAACGGGAGATGATAAGAGCAGTTATAGGTTGGTGGTCTCTTTCATTACCCTAATAAAATCTAAACATTGGTAAGCAACCAAGAACTTGGTAGCAGGCTAAAAGATCAGCAGTTCCCATTTAGTTGTGTGCTATGTGTGAACATTAAACAACCCATTCCAGTGATAAATGGATTTGATTTATATGTCTTCCAAACCACTGGTTTGGGAACCATTTTTAAATTAAACAAGACTGCTTTTATTTTTGGTTCAAATAGTGTATTGTGAGGATGGGAAAATATCAACATCAGTCTGATCCGGAGATTAAAAACACAGTAAAAGAACTGTTTTTCCTAGATCTGTTAACCAGATTCTTGTTTAGTATGAGCAAAAAATGTTTGCTGAGGAATCAAAATTGTTAATGTGATGAGATCTTTCTTATTAAAATGAATTCACATAGAAAGCATTAATGTAATAAAGAGTAAGGTTAAATTCTTTTATCTTTCTGGGCTGTGTCATGTATTCTTGTTTTTTCTTTTCCTTTTTCTTTTTTTTTTTTTTTTTTTTTTTAGCCAGTACTATGCTCTATTGATTGTTGAACATTTGCTAATATATTTTGTTATCTGGTAGGACGGGTCTGCTTTTTTTTCCCCTGAATTATGTTTTTTCCACCTTTATTCTTGTACACTAATATCTCCTGGGGCTTATTTATGAGTTAATCCATGTAAAACAACTAACCCAGTGCTTGGCATATACTTAAGTACTCAGTAAACATTCATCGTTGGTATTAACATCATTGCCTTTCCATGATGTTGCATTAAAATTCTCTTCTTGTTTTCTACATGAGGCTTCAGGAGAAAGCTTCTTAAGAGTTAGATTTGTTAAAAAATAATGGTCTGCTTTGTATGATTGGAATTTGTCAGACACATACCATATTGCCACGTGGTCACAGTTAACTCCAATATCTCTTTCCTACCTCACTTTTTGACTTGCCCCGCCTTATCAGTCCCCTATTTCCTACACATCTTCTTATTCTTTCTCTATCTGGCACAGATATCATGATCCACAAATCAACAGTACTGACCATAAACCTCCAGCTGCCCCCTGCTCTGGATTAATTAAACTGTCTTTGCTACTTCTTAAATACTGTTGGGAAAAGTTACACTGCCGGGAGGATTGGTGGCTATAGAAATCCATGGTCTTCAACATCAAGTGGACCCTTCATACCATCTGCCAATTTTTCCTGTTCCAGATCAGCTTTTATCTTCCATTCACCAGAGCAACTATTTGATACCTTTATCACTCTTCGGAAGTTCTCTTCATTCAATTTGAGCACTTCTGCTTTGTAGGGAAAACAGGTGACCCTTCACGTTTTCCCCAAAACTTATAGATAGACATTTTCATGTGAATTGTCTTCTTCCTAACCAGGCTTTCTATTTATGGTCTTGGATAGCATAATTTTTTTCTTATCCTTAGGGACCTCACTCTATCAAATAGATAAATTCCCTCTTTAAACTTTTCCCTCTCTGCTGCCTTAACTTTTTAGCTTGCTGCAGTTTCTTTCATCTTAAAAAGATTCAGAGAATAGATGGGGCTCACTGTCTTTACTTCTTTACCTCACCTCAGGTGAACTCTTCAATATTTTATGGTCTGCCATCCATCCTCATCATTTTCGTGAAATTATTGACAAATATCATAAATGATTTAACTGTTGGTGATCCAAATGGGCTTGGTTCTCTTGCAAGATTCCTGTAGCTTACACAGTATGGTTCTGTGTATTATAATTTTATCTAGTTATGGTATACTAGCTATAATGTTGAATTACTACCGTTAATCTATTTTAGAATTTAGAAGGACTTTGAACATGAAAGTTTGAGTGGCTCATATTTTCCTTTTTACAAATTTGAAATCCCACTGCTTCCTTTTTAATGTTAGTATTCCTTTGGTTAATGAGGGCTTGCAAAATTACCTCATTGAAAGTAGAGGTGTGCTTAACATTGGTTTCATACATATTTATTTAGTGTGTGTTAAAGCATGTGACTATTTGAAGTAAAGCCACAGCAAACACTGAGGACATTAATGTGGACAGAGATTTTTACATCTGGGGTAAAGAAAGGAAACTTACTTAACATTTATGGCCTTGTGGAAATAATATTACCTCTTTGAGCTTTAGTTACTCGTTTGTAAAATAGGGATCATAATACTTTCTCACTAGGTTATTAAGAAGGTGCTTTATTAATAACCCCACAGCTGGTACTCATGAGTATGAGTTTCTTTTGCCTATTCACACTTTTTCCATGCCCCCCAGAACAATGAAAGGTAGAATTTGGAAGCAGTGGACTGTGGACATTGTTACGTGTTTCCAAAGTATTCTCTCATACCTTTTGTCCTCAGTAGACTCATTTCAGTGTGTATGATTGGACAGTGAGGAAACAAATCAAAGTTTAAGAAAGCTGTCCAAGATAAAACCATCATATCTACAGAAGGAACTTAAATTAGTATTTTGACCTTTACTTAACATGTTTTGATATATTTTTTTTTAACTAGTCATCATAAATATTTCAGTATACCTGGAATTCCATGTTTACAGACATTATGGTTCCCTTTTGGTGACAACATAATACTTCAGATTAGATATAATATTCTGATTTATTTAACTATTTTCTTATTGGAAGTTTAAGTTCTTAATGTCTTAAGAAGTTAGAATTTAAATTTCCAAACTTTTTATCAGACTATGATAACCTTGTCGGTAGAGCTCTTTTTTTCCTTTTTGATTTATTTTGGATTAATTCCTTTAAGTTTACTGTTTTTATATTTTAAACACTGTCATCTCTTTTATTAAAAGGAATACAAATACTGAATGTAGGCTTATTGTAAAAATGTCACACCATTTAGAAATAAAGTAGAAGATGGATACCGTCCCTTTTTAGCCCACTCACCTCTCTGAAGACAACAGTTTATTGTATAGCCTTCCTAGATAGTCTGTGTATGTAAGTTATTGTATAGGTAATCTAATTTTTTTAATTTTTATTGGAGTATAGTTGATTTACAATGTTGTGTTAAGTATCAGATGTACAGCAAGTGAATCAGTTATATATACACACACACACATATATATACATACACACACACACACACACACACATCCACTCTCTTTTAGATTCTTTTCCAATGTAGGCCATTACAGAGTATTTACTAAGTAGAGTTCCCTGTGCTATACAGTAGGTCCTTATTAGTTATCTATTTTATATATAATAGTGTGTATATGTCTATCCCAATCTCCTAATTTATCCCTGTCCCCCTTCCTCCCTGGGAACCATAAGTTTGTTTTCTACATCCCTGACTCTTTCTGTTTTGTAAATAAGTTCCTATGTACCATTTTTTTAGTCTCCATATGTACGTGATATGATATTTGTCTTTGACTGACTTCACTCAATATAACAGTCTCTAGGTCCATCCATGTTGCTGCAAATGGCATTATTTCATTCTTTTTTATGGCTGAGTAATATTCCATTGTATATATGTACCACATCTTCCTTATCCATTCCTCTGTTGATGGACATTTAGGCTCCTTCCACATCCTGGCTATTGTAAATAGTGCAGTGAACATTGGGGTGCGTGTATCTTTTTGAATTATGGTTTTCTCCAGATATATGCCCAGGAGTGGAATTGCTGTATCATATGGTAGCTCTATTTTTGTTTTTTAAGGAACCTCCATACTCTTCTCCATAGTGGTTGTACCAGTTTACATTCCCACCAACAGTGTAGGAGGGTTCCCTTTTCTCCACACTCTCTCCAGCATTTATTGTTTGTAGATTTTTTGATGATGGCCATTTCTGAGTGGTGTGAGGTGATACCTCATTGTAGTTCTGATTTGCATTTCTCTAATAATTAGTGATGTTGAATATCTTTTTTATGTGCTTTTTGGCCAGCTGTATGTCTTCTTTGGAGAAATGTCTGTTTAGATCTTCTGCCCATTTTTGGATTGGGTTGTTTGTTTTTTTGATATTGAGCTGCATGAGCCGTTTGTAAATTTTGGAGATTAATCCCTTGTTGGTTGCTTCATTTGCAAATACTTTTCTCCCATTCTGGGGGTTGTCTTTTTTTGTTTATGCTTTCCTTTCCTGGACAAAGGCTTTTTTAAGTTTAATTAGACCCCTTTTGTTTTTGTTTTTGTTTTTGTTTTTATTTTCATTACTCTAGGAGGTGGATCAAAAGAGTCTTGCTGCAGTTTATGTCATAGAGCGTTCTGCCTGTATTTTCCTCTTAAGAGTTTTATAGTGTCTGGCTTTACATGTAGGTCTTTAATCCATTTTGAGTTTACTTTTGTGTATGGTGTTAGGGAGTGTTCTAATTTCAGTCTTTTACATGTAGCTGTCCAGTTCTCCCAGCACCACTTATTGAAGAGAGTATCTTTTCTCCATTGTATATTCTTGCCTCCTTTGTCATGAATTAGGTGACCATAGGTGTGTGGTTTTTATCTCTGGACTTTCTATCCTGTTCCTTTGATTTATTTTTCTGTATTTGTGCCAGTACCATACTGTTTTTATTACTGTAGCATTGTAGCATAGTCTGAAGTCAGAGAGCGTGATTCCTCCAGCTCCATTTTTCTTTTCTCAAGATTGCTTTGGCTGTTTAGGGTCTTTTGTGTTTCCATACAAATTGTAAAAGTGTTCGTTCTAGTTCTGTGAAAAATGTTATTGGTAATTTGATAGGGACTGCATTGAATCTGTAGATTGCTTTGGATAGTATAGTCATTTTGACACTAGTGATTCTTCCTGTCCAAGAACATGGTATATCTCTCCATCTGTTTGTGTCATCTTTGATTTCTTTCATCCGTGTCTTATAGTTTTCTGAGTACAGGTCTTTTGCCTCCTTAGGTAGGTTTATTGCTAGGTATTTTATTCTTTTTGATGTGATGATAAATGGGATTGTTTCCTTAATTTCTCTTTCTGATCTTTCATTGTTAGTGTATAGGAATGCAAGAGATTTCTGTGTATTAATTTTGCATACTGCAACTTTACCCAGATTCATTGATGAGCTCTAGTAGTTTTCTAGTAGCATCTTTAGGATTTTCTCTGTAGAGTGTCATGTCATCTGCAAACAGTGACAGCTTTACTTCTTTTCCATTTTGGATTCCTTTATTTTTTTTTTTCTTCTCTGATTGCTGTGGCTAGGAATCTCTCATTATTTTTATCTTAAGTGGAAATATGCTTTATGTGTTTTACACCTAGAGGGCTTTTTGTTTTTTCAACTTAATTTGTTTGTTTGTTTGTTTTTGGCCGTGCTGCATCCAAAAATAAGATCCTTGCAGGATCTTAGTTCCCCGACCAGGGATTGAACACTGCAGGGCCCTAGCAGTGAAAGCGCAGAGTTGTAACTGCTGGACTGCCAGGGAATCCCCAACTGTAATTTATTTTTAACCAAGCCCTTAATGATGGACATTTAGATTGTTTCCATTGTTCTTGTTCTTGCATCAGGTAACATTGGTCTTTAAAAATTGGGAATATTCATTCATATATTTGGGATAAAGTCTTAGGGGAAAAATTGGAAAAAAAAATTATTGTTTTTATTTCTAAGCACTCTTGATAAGCTGTCTTATCCCCACTAAGATTCCATCCAGTAGGTCCCATGCATGAGTATTTAAAAGGCCTGAGATATATATTGGGAGTATTCATCATTTGAGAAGGGCAAAGAACATGCTATAAGGCAATATTAGCAGTGGTGGTTGTTTTATTGGTATTATTAGTATTCATGAGGTTGTTAAGACTTTGAGATCTTTAGATCTTTGTTTCATGAATTCATTTCTTTATAGGTTGATTCCTGTGTTAGTGAATGGCATGAAGTACTCGGATATAGATATCATCCTACTTAAGGTAAGGAAACTATTCCCTGATGAATAGGGAAGATTATTTTTATTGACTTAGTAGATCTTTGGATTTGACTAACAGAACATTTGTTTAGAGTAGGCCCTATGTAAATAGGCTTTCTGTTATATAGTATGCTACGGAGTTCAAAGATAATGAATTTGGGTGGTAATAGATTCTAGCTTCTAGCTGGAACTAACTAGACGGTGACACTAATAGAGTTCGCATCCATTTCCTGTTAATACAAATTGTTTGGAGTTTATTTTAAAATATGTTAAATATGTTCTGATCTTGATTCAGATACTCTAGATTATACCAGCTGGTGGGAAACCATATAATGTGGTTTGAAAGTGCCTGATATCTAACATGGGTTATGTGATAGCCTGTTCTCCCCTTCACAGAGAACTATTTTCTGCCCAGGGGAGTGGTTCTTAATGAAGAGGTATACAGTTGACCCTTGAAAATGGGATGTTAGCAGCATTGGCCTTGAGCTCAGTCAAAAATCCCTGTATAACTTTACAGTTGGCCCTCCGTGTCCATGGTTCCATATCTGCAGATTCAGCCAACCATGGATTATGTAGTAGTGTTAAGACTTCATTTATTGGAAAAAAATCTGCATGTTAGTGGACCCGCACAGTTCCAACCCATATAGTTCAAGAGTCAACTGTATTTCAAAATAATATGCATAACCCCATCTCTGAATATTCTCAGTCTTTTACTGATATACATATTAGCTTATAATGAATATAACCAAAATTTTCCTTTAAAAAAAATATAAAGGGTGATGTTGAAGAAGATGAAACAATTCCTGATAGTGAACAGGACATAAGGCCACGTTTTCATCGATCAAGGACAGTGGCTCAGCAGCATGATGAAGATGGAATTGAAGAGGAAGATGATGATGACGATGAAATTGATGATGATGATACAATTTCTGACTGGAATCTAAGTAAGTCAGAGAGGGAGAAGCACAGTCACCTGCTTTGATAACAGTTTTGTTGAGAAATAATTCACATACCATACAGTGCCCTCATATCATACAATTCACATACCATACAAAAGGTTACAGTTGAGTGGCTTTTAGTGTATTCACAGAGTTGTGCAACCATCACCACAGTAAATTTTGGAACATTTTTATCACCCCGAAAAGAAACCCTGTACCCATTAGTAGTCACTCCCATTTTCTTCCAGTTCGCTAGCCTTAAGCACCGACCAATCTATATTCTGTCTCTAGGAACTGTTCTGGACATTTCCTACAAGTGGAATTATACAAAAAGTGGTCCTTTGTGACTGACTTATCTGTTCATCATTTGATGGACATTTTGTTTCCCCCCTTTGGCTATTGTGAGTAATGATGCTGTGAAGTTATGTAAAGTTCGATGTGTAAACGTACGTTTTCAATTCTCTTGGGTATATACCCAGGAGTAGGATTACTGAGTCATATGGTAACTTTATGTTTAACCTTTTGAGGTACTACCAGGCTGTTTTTCAAAGTGGCTCCACCATTTACATTCCCCCCAGCAGTGTCTTATGGCTCCAGGTTCTCCACATGCTTGCCAATACTTCTTGGGTGTCTTTTTCTGTTATAGCCATTCTGGATGTGAAGTGATAATCTTATTATGGGTTTGTTTTTATATTTTCCTGACAGGTCTGCTCTTCATTTACTTGTCATTTTATTCCTTAAAAAGACTATCTCACACTGTCATTTCTCAAAGGGGTATATATTTTGTTTGATACTGTGAAATAGAAACATTGACCACAGAAAACAGCTTTTCCTGTTTTCCTAACATAAACTTATTTTTTTGTGTGATAATTTGCATGAAAATTGGTTGATTATCATGCAATTTTCCAAAATTATATAAATTGCTTTTGTCATATTCAGACTTACAAATATGTTTTTTAAAATCTTGGTTTTCAACCTTACCTGCAAATCCACATCATATATTAAGCCTGCATTCTGGGCCACATACTAATTAGATAACTCTGGGGAGAATCTAGACACCTGTGTTTTGCTTTTGCTTGCATGCTGGTTTTTAAATCTTGCTGCTCTAGTTCATAGCACATTTCACGTTTTGGGCCATGTAATTCTTTGTTGTGGGGTCATCCTGTCCATTATAGGATTTTGAGCAGCAGCCCTGATCTCTGCCCAGTAAATGGCAGTAGCGCAGGAGGTGGGGGGAGAACACACACAAAATTGTGACAACCAGCAGTGTCTCGAGACATTGCCCAATGTTCCTTGGGACACAAAATCACCCCCAGTTAAGAACCACGCTGTGATTCAGAGTGTTGAGATTTCTAGTAACTAACCGATAGAGCAATTAAGGACATGAATCATCAGCCTGAACTCTGTAAGTTATTTGGAATTATGCTGATTACTGCCCATTTAGTTTCCTATAACTAACGGTTCCTTAGACTGACTAACGTGCCCAGCCCTAGACCAAGGACTTTGTATGCCTTTCACATTTAATCTTTCCAACAGCCTTGGGTAGGTAAAGATACTGCAAAAAGAGAAACTTCCTAAGGTTAGCTTAGCTGGTACTGGTGGCACATGTAGTTTTGGAACCCAAATCTCACACAAGAGAACCCAGGGTCTTTATTACTACCACAGAATTACCTCCCAGTGTATCCCTACTTTAAGGTTGGTGGGGAGCATGCATTAAGATTTAATGTAGATAACTGCAGAAGTAATAATGTGTGTTGAATTGGGGGGCAGGGAATACTTCCTTTTCACATCCCACCCATCTTTATGTTCTTCCAGAAGTTTTTCTATGCAGATACAGAAAAACGGATATACGGGCTTAACCTGCTTTGGTTTCGCTTCGCTTTCTTGCACTTCATAGATAACTGCATTTTTTATAAACTGAAGGTTCGTAGCAACCCTGCACTGATCGAGTCTGTTGGCGCCATTTTTCCAACAGCATTTACTCACTTTGTGACGCTGTCACATTTTGGTAATTCTTGGAATATTGCAAGCTTTTTTGTTATTATATTTGTTAGGGCAATCTGTGATGAGTCATCTTTGATGTTACTGTTGTAATCGTTTTGGGGCTGCGTGAACCATGCTCATATAAGATGGCAAACTTACTAATTAGTAAATGTTGGGTGTGTTCTGACTGCTCCACTCACAGCCATTCCCCATCTCTCTCCCTCTCCTTGAGTGTCCCTCTTCTCTGAGACACAACAATATTGAAATTAGACCAACTAATAACCCTTCAGTGGCCTCTAAGTGTTCAAGTGAAAGGAAGAGTTAGTTGCATGTTTCTCACTTTATTTTATTTTCGGCTGCGCTGGGTCTTTGTTGCTGCACGCGGGCTTTCTCTAGTTGTGGCGAGCGGGGGCTACTCTTCGTTGCAGTGCGCGGGCTTCTCATTGCGGTGGCTTCTCTTGTTGCGGAGCACGGGCTCTAGGCATGTGGGCTCCAGTAATTGCAGCATGCAGGCTCAGTAGTTGTGGCTTGCGGGCTCTAGAGTGCAGGCTCTGTAGTTGTGGCACATGGGCTTAGTTGCTCTGCGGCATGTGGGATCTTCCCGGACCAGGGCTTGAACCCGCGTCCCCTGCATTAGCAGGCGGATTCTTAACCATTACACTATCAGTGACGCCCCACGTCACTCACTTTTAATCAAGAGTTAGAAGTGATTAAGCTGGGACTTGAAGCCCGTGAACTGCAGCTACTGAAGCCCGTGCACCTAGAGCCCATGCTTCGCAACAAGAGAAGCCACCACGATGAGAAGCCTGCACACCACAATGAAGTAGCCCATGCTCACTGCAACTAGAGAAAGCCTGTGCACAGCAACAAAGACCCAATGCAGCCAAAAAATCAATCAACTAATTAATTAAAAGAAATGATTAAGCTTAGTGAGGAAGGCATGTAGAAACTGCGGTAGGCCAGAAGCCAGGCCTCTTGCGCCAGTTAGCCAAGTTGTGAGCAAAAGAAAAGTTCTTGAAGGAAGTTAAAAGTGCTACTCCAGTGAACACACAAAAACGAAACAAGCAAAACAGCTTGAATGCTGATAAGGAGAAAGTTTTTGTGGTTAACCAGCCACAACATTCCCTTAAGCCAAACCTAGTCCAGAGCAAAGCCCTAACTCTCTTCAATTCTCTGAAAGCTGAGAGAGGAGAGGAAGCTGCTGAAGAAGAGGTTGGTTCTTGAGGTTTAAGGGAAAAAGTCTTTATATCTCCATAACATAATGCAGGGTAAAGCAGCAAATGCTGATATAGAAGCTGCAGCAAGTTATCCAGAAGATCTAAGATAATTAATGAAGGTGGCTGCACAAAACAACAGATTTTCAATGTAGACAAAAGAGCCTTCTGTTGGAAGAAGATGCCATCGAAGACTTTCATAGGTAGAGAGTAGAAGTCAGTGCCTGGCTTCAAAGGGAAGGCTGATTCTTGTTAGGGGCTGATGCAGCTGGTGACTTTTAAGTTGAAGCCAGTGCTCATCTACCATCCCGAAAATCCTAGAGTCCTTGAGAATTACACTAAATCTACTCTGTGCTCTATAAATGGAACAAGAAAGCCTAGATGATAGCACATTTGTTTATGACAAGGTTTACTGCATATTTTAAGCCTACTCTTGACACCTACTGCTCAGAAAAAATGATTTCTTTAAAAATATTACTGCTCATTGACAAAGTACCTGCCCACCCAAGAGCTCAGGTGGAGATGTACAATGAGGTTCATGTTTTTTTCACATCTGCTAACACAGCATTGATTCTGCGGTCCATGGATCAAGGAGTAATTTCAACTTTCAAGTCTTATTATTTAAGAAATACACTTTGTAAGGCTATAGTTGCCATAGGTAGTGATTCCTCTGAAGGATCTGGGCAAAGTAAATTGAAAACCTTCTGGAAAGGATTCACCATTCTAGATGCCATTAAAAACATTTGTGATTCATGGAAAGAGATGAGAATATCAGCATTACATTAACAGGAGTTTGGAAGAAGTTGATTCTTCTTAGGGGATTCAAGACTTCAGTGGAGAAGGTAACTGCAGATGTTGTGGAAATAGCAAAAGAACTAGAATTAGAAGTGGAGCCTGAAGATGTGACTACATTGCTGCGTCTCATGAGAAAACTTTAATGGATGAGGAGTTGCTTCTTATGGGTGAGCAAAGAAACTGCTTTTTCTTGAGATGGAATCTACTCCTGGTGAAGATGCTGTGAAGATTGTTGAAATGACAACTGAGGATTTAGACTATTACATAGTGTTGGTTGATGAAGCAGCAGGAGTGTTTGAGAGGATTGATTCCAATTTTGAAAGAACTTCTACTGGGTAAAATGCTATTAAACAGCACTGTGTGCTACAGAGAAATCGTTCACGTTAGGAAGAGTCAGTCCATGCAGCGAACTTCACTGTCGTCTTATTTAAGAAACTGCTCATAGCCACCCCAGCCTTCAGCAGCCACCACCCTGATCAGTCAGCAACCACCAACATCAAGGCCAGACACTCCACAGAAAGATTACAGTTTTTCAAAGGCTCAGATAATGGTTAGCATTTTTTAGCTATAAAGTATATTTTGGTTAAGGTATGTACATGGTTTATAGACATAAAGCTATTACACACTTCAGTAGACTACAGCGTAGTGTGAACATAACTTTTATGTGCACTAGGAAACCAAAAAGTTCAATTGACTCACTTCGTTGTGGTGGTCTAGAACTGAACCTGCAATATCTGAGGTAGGCCTATGTCTTCTTTTTAGGAGGGGAGGCTGATTTTCTAGAAGTGAAATCAGATCATATGTACTCTGCTGATTCTTTTCCATATATCATGCAACTCATTCTGTGTCAGTACACAAATATTTCATTCTGTTGCCTGGTAGTATAATATTCATATGAATGGGTCTACCATACAGTATAACTAAGACCCTTTTGATGAGTAAGGTGTTATTTCTGGCCAACCTAACAGCTTTATTTTAAAAAAAAAAAAAAAAAAGGCAGGCGTATACAGGATAAAATATCTTCAAACTTTGTAGAGGTAAAAATAAAGTGTTGTACATACAACAAATTTTATCTGTATATAGATACAGATAGATTTATAGATATATAACTATAAATGGTAATGGAAGTTAATGTAATGTCTTTGAATTAAATATTTCCTTAGGAAAATGTTCTGCGGCTGCCCTAGATGTTCTTGCAAATGTGTATCGTGATGAGCTTTTGCCACATATTTTGCCCCTTTTGAAAGAATTACTTTTTCATCATGAATGGGTTGTTAAAGAATCAGGCATATTGGTTTTAGGAGCAATTGCTGAAGGTAAGTCTAAATCAAACTTGAACTGTAAAGTCCTCAATAGGTGCTAATGTGACTAGGCTACTTTAAGGACTTGTCACTCTATAAGCAGAAACTGTTCACGTACTTTGCTGTCTTGTGTTGCTAATAAGACTATTGAAGTAGATGAGATTATGATCCACATTAACCTTAAAAATGATATTTGAGTCTAAAAGCCATCTTAGGATAAGTTTTTATTTTGAGCTAGTTAATTATTATTAAACAACCATAGACTTACTTATAACCCCAGCCAGATATTTTGCAAATGCTTTTGTTATAATGAAGAGAACAGAAAAAAAAAAAAAAGCAAAATGAGAGGATTCTGATGTCAGAAGCATCCCTGTTGCTAGAAAAATAACTTCCATAGGTAAGTGTAAGAAACGTAAGTCAAGTGTCATCATCCTCTATAAAGGATTATTATTCTGTCCTAGCTGTAAACATGTATCTACAAAAAATTGGAGTATTTTACAGGCATTTTTGAAAGCCATAATTTCTGTAGCAGAAGTAAAATGAGCTTTCCTAACCCTACTGAAAGATACTTAAAGAGCAGTTGGCGCTCATTTCAGTTATTTTTTTAAAATAATTTTGTAACAGATTATTGCAGTATATTTATTGGAATGGAGATGATCTGAATATGTTTCATGGATGCACGTATCAGTTTAGTATTCAACTGAAATAATTTTAACCAAATTTCAGCACTTCCTGAAATAGTTCTGTGGTTTTTATTCCTAGGTTGCATGCAGGGCATGATTCCATACCTACCTGAGCTCATTCCTCACCTTATTCAGTGCCTCTCTGATAAAAAGGCTCTTGTGCGTTCCATAACATGCTGGACTCTTAGCCGCTATGCACACTGGGTAGTCAGCCAGCCCCCAGACACGTACCTGAAGCCATTAATGACAGAACTGCTAAAGCGTATCCTCGATAGCAACAAAAGAGTACAAGAAGCTGCCTGCAGGTGAGACATTCATAACAAAATGTTCATTGTGGGAGAAGGGAGTGTGGGTATTTCAGGGAGAAACTTAATTTTCAAGCTTGTGATGGAATGTTGATTTTAAACCACTAATGGGGTTTTTGTTATCTGTATCTTTAACCTGATGGTTTTATAAATCCAAATGAGACTCTACCTAGACATCCATATTTACTGTTTCTTCACATTTTTTTTTCCTTAGTGGCTTTAACAGTAGCATCATCTTTTACCCTAATTCCCACACAGATATCTGGAGTGGAAGTGGCAAGGGTCCTACTCTTGAAGGAATAAAAAAGTTTGAGCAGAGTGACATTATTAGTCGGCAGGTCAACTGTGATAACAAGTTGCCACATAGTGATTCAACTCCAGTAGCCACTCTGTCAGTTGCATTTGGGGCTGTCTCTTTTTACATCAGATGAGCAGTTAGTTTCATTACTACCAGCATTTCCGTTTTCTGGAACAAACCTTCATGTTCTAAAAAGCCTTGCCACCTAATGTTTATAGTTCTTAATTTTTCAAATAAAATTGCTTTTACTGTTGACTTTGTTAATAAGAAGAAATAGCTGTTGAAAGAGAGGAAAGTAAATTTCAGTGTAACTGGACTTTACCAGATCTGAAGCAAAAATGTCTGGAAGAGCCCTAATTCATAATGATGTGAAAGAAAGTTAAACAAGGGAGTTTTGGTAATTAACAGCACTCAGTTTTTTTTCAGGTGGGGGGAGGATACCAATTATGCTTGGTTTCCTGTAGATTATTCATTCAGCAAGGTTTTTTTTAGTTCTCTACTAATTGTTACGCATATATTAAATGCTGAGCTTACATCCTCTGCGTCTTAAAATTTACAGGCTAGTAGGGTATACTGAACAACTATATAATTATAATTTGTGGAAAGTGCCATGAAGGAAATAGATATAGCTCAGTGTTAATGAATAAGACTTCAGTTAACAAATGGCTTAAGCCTGTCATTTTAGGAAATTCTTACCTGGCTAAAACAGAAGAAAATAACCTTAATTTTACAAACAAAGGGCCAGATACACCTTAAAGTCGAGACACATTTAGGTATAAATTGAAGTAATTGCTTTGAGGCCCTGGAGTTTGTTCATTTCTTGTATATTTGTCCTAAAAAATAAGCTGCAAATAAACAAATTTATAATAACAAATGCACTGTGCATTCTAATGTATAGTGTGGAGCCTAGAGAAAATTTTTTAAACTTTACTGAGGAATAATTGACAAAAATAATTGCATATACTTGAAGTGTACCACATGTTGATTTTGATATACATAAGCATGGTAGAACAGTTATGAAGATCAAGATCCTATAGTTAACATGGGTAACTCTTTTTTCTGTGAGAATGCTTAAGATCTACTCAGCAACTTTCAAGTATACAGTGCTGTGTTAACTATAGTCACCATGCTGTACGTTAGATCCTTAGAATTTATTCTTTTTTTTCCTTTTTTTGATTTTTTTTATACAGCAGGTTCTTATTAGTTATCTATTTTATACATATTAGTGTGTATATTGTCAATCCCAATCTCCCGATTCATCCCACTACCCCCACCAACCCCGCCACTTAGAATTTATTCTTATAACTGAAAATTTGTGCCCTTTGACCTCCAGCACCCCATTTCCCCCTCCCACTGAGAGAAACATTTGAGAGATCATCACACTCCTATGTTCTCATACATCTCAAACACCCTAAGTGTTAAAAAATGTTTCTATCATTTAAGTTTCAATTCTGATTTCATTAATCTGGAGCATCACTAGAATGTAAACCCCCCTAGAATGAGGACATTGGTTTGTTCATTGCTATGTTCCCAGCACTCAGTCACTAAATAAATAGTAAACAGCAAATAAATTGTTGAATGAACCAACAGTAGTTTTAGATTTTACCATTGTAGTTAAGCAGATTGCCCATAGGTGACAGCATAAGGAATGGGAAAGAAATGGTTAAAAATAAGCATCTGGTGTGGTACGGTAGGCAAATATGCATGTAAAGTGTAATAGGTATTCTATAAACTGTAGACTTAGATTCCTATCTCTATTGTAAACTGTTTCTTTTCTACAACAGTGATCTTTCTCTTTTTTTAAATTATAGTGCCTTTGCTACCCTAGAAGAGGAGGCTTGTACAGAACTTGTTCCTTACCTTGCTTATATACTTGATACCTTGGTCTTTGCATTTAGTAAATACCAGCATAAAAACCTGCTCATTCTTTATGATGCCATAGGAACATTAGCAGATTCAGTAGGACATCACTTAAACAAACCTGTAAGTACCTATGATGAACTGTTATGAAAAAATTAAATATAAAGCATAGTTACAATCAAAAGGTTAACATATTTGAAAATTAACATGTTTGGGGAGATGTGAACACTTAGTGTTTGCTGCTTTAAGAATGTAGAGCTGAAAAAGACAGCAAGTGTATTCACCTTTTAAGTATTTTAAAAAATAAATATGTGCAGGGTGTGAAGATTACAGGAGCATATGACATGAATGCACCAACACTTTCTAGAGTGACTAAAGGAAAGAGGATGAAGGTTTTATACTCTGGATTTCAGCTTTTACTTAATTCCAAGTAGTTTTGTGTCTCACTTAATAAACACTAGCTTTAGAGTACCACATCTAAACATCTGTGTTTTCTCACTGGAACTTACAAGTATGAGGAATACACTAAGGTAAAATAATTAAAAATTAGGGTAATAGGTTAAAATGCTAAATAGTGGTACAGAAGTGTGGCTAGGAAGCCAGACTCTGTCTCTAGTAGTGTTAAGAATAGAAGAGATGGGTGGGATTTGATTTGTTTAAATAGGATTTAAGTAATTTTAGAATTTTAACATAGCTCGAAATTACCTGCTGAAGAACAGATTTCATGTTTATGATTACTCTCTGAAACATCATAAGAAATTGTGTTTATAAGTTATACTTAAAACTTGGTGCAGGACACTTGTTTGTGGGTTTGCTTTGATGTTTGTTGTTTTGGTTTTGTTTGGTGGGGGGATTCCTAATAGATTAGACCATGTAGAACCTGTGCTCCTGTTTACATGGTTACTATGTTTATTGACTTGGTTGCGTGAATTCTTCCGTTTTAGTAAGAACATTTAAATGATTATGAATTATTTTCTGCAAATGTCTTTAATAAGTTCACTTGTCATTTATAACCTACTCAGCAGGAGTCATTACATGTCACAGGCCCCAGGACTTAAAAAAAAATTCAAAGAATGAGTCTTAAAATTCTTTCAGTAATAATTTTACACAATTACTGTAAATGGATTTTAATTTTCATACACTCAAAATGGACTAGTTTACATATGGTAGTGGAGCTTTATGTGTTTTTCATCATTGTAATTAGGAATATATTCAGATGCTAATGCCTCCACTGATCCAGAAATGGAACATGTTAAAGGATGAAGATAAAGATCTCTTCCCTTTACTTGAGGTATGCTAAGCTGGTAACATTTAGTTAATCTGTGTTTCATCAAAAAACACGTGTTCAAATCTAAAATGGGTATATGTGGTAAGTGTTAATTTACATTCTGAACCATTTCTGTTAAAATGCTGAATAAATATGTAACTTGCTGTAACTTTAATTATGGTACATCTAAAATTTTCTGTTTTCATAGAAATACTGTGAAACAGAAAAAGTGTAATGGATGTGTTATGTTTTTTTTTTTAAGTAGACAGTTGATTGAATTGTGTATGTTTTCTAGCCTGCTCTACTTATTTGATAGTGAATTAGCTTGGAGATCTTTCCATATCAGCATATATATGTCCATCTCTATTTAACTATTTCTTTATATGGATATATAGCCATGTCATAATTGACATAAATTCTTTTATATATTATCTATTATTTATACATACATATAGTCATGTGAAGTAGCATTGGGACTCTGATGGGAGGGACTTCACTTTATACCTTTTCTGTCTAGTTTGAAGTTTTGTTTTCTTGTGTATTTAAATGCGTTTTTTAACCCCCCAAAATTTATATGCTCTCCAAATAACTGAATACATTCTCACATGTGGTAACTTAAACCTAGATGAATTGATATTGGTAGAGCCAGTTCAGTCATTCTTGTTCCCCCTGTCATTTCAGGGGTCACCACTTCTGCCATGGATTGTCCCTAACCAGCAAAGTAAAAACTTTTGTGACAGAGCAATGGCTAATCCTGGGCCCAACAAAACAAGAATTATTATTATGACTAGATATATTTACTTCCAGGCAGGGGCTCAGAATGTGCCCAGTAAAGTCCACCCACAGTATTGACCAGGATGGGAGGATAAATAAATGTCTCTCTTACATTTGAGGAAAAAATAGGAATACATAATACTTAAATCTGTTCCTGAAAGATAATGTTCATTAAAGAAACCTTTAAATTTTTTTGAGGAAACCTCCCCTGACTAGCTAGTAAACTTAACAGCAATGAATGGTATCCAAAGGAGAGGTTTGAAAAGGTAAACCTGCTATGCTATAGACTAGTAGAACAGGCTCATAAGTGACCGGAATCTTATTGAGTACACTTTGAAGCATTTATCATAATCTCAATTATACCTAGAAGTTTTACACATCTGCGTTATTCTTTCTAGTGCCTATCTTCAGTTGCCACAGCCCTGCAGTCTGGCTTCCTTCCATACTGTGAACCTGTGTATCAGCGTTGTGTAAACCTAGTACAGAAGACTCTTGCACAAGCAATGGTATTTTTAAAATTTTTTCTCTCCTTTCTTGGCATCAAACGGTTTTCTAAGGATAGGCATAATGTATACAAACTTTTTCAATAATTGATTCAAAGTAAGTTTTCAAAAAATTGTGTCTTAATTTCAGCTGAACAATGCTCAACCAGATCAGTATGAGGCTCCAGATAAAGATTTTATGATAGTGGCTCTTGATTTACTCAGTGGCCTGGCTGAAGGACTTGGAGGCAACATTGAGCAGCTAGTAGCCCGAAGTAACATTCTAACACTAATGTATCAGTGCATGCAGGTGAGACTTATTAAATTGAAATGAATTGAAACCTGGTTCTCTGTGTCACATTGGGGTTAATTTCTTCTTCTTTCTTGCAGGATAAAATGCCAGAGGTTCGACAGAGTTCCTTCGCCTTGTTAGGTGATCTGACAAAAGCTTGCTTTCAGCATGTTAAGCCTTGTATAGGTATGAATATTTTCTATTGCTGTGATGTGATTTTTTTTTCTTTTTTCTTTTTTCTTTTTTTTTTTTTTTTTGCGGTACGTGAGCCTCTCACTGTTGTGGTCTCTCCCGTTGCGGAGCACAGGCTCCGGACGTGCAGGCCCAGCGGCCATGGCTCACGGGCCCAGCCGCTCCGCGGGATGTGGGATCTTCCCAGACCGGGGCACGAACCCGTGTCCCCTGCATCGGCAGGCGGACTCAACCACTGCGCCACCAGGGAAGCCCCTGTGATGTGATTTTTAACATTATTTTTCATCAGCTATGGTTTTCATTATTAAACTGAAATTCCATGAAACCCCAACATTTATAAGTGCACATTTTACTGGTTAGAGTTGCTCTGATTCAAGCAGGCAGGATGGGAACCCCTGTTCCTTGTTTCTTTGAATTCACCATCACTTCAGCAGCTCGTTAGGCATTCATGTGACTGGAGAGAAGTTGGAAAAGTATTACTTGCCCACCTGTGAATCCTTGGTCCTATATGCTAGTTCATGGATACTTCTTGAATAGCCTCTCTTTTTTGGTAGAGGTACCCAGTAATAATAATAATCAGGTTTTCTCATGATAACCCAGCATAATTTTTCAGGTACTATAGGAAACTTCAAACAATTTTCTTAAAAGTCAATAATGATTTGTTTCTGTTGAAATGGCATAGCATTTGTCTTAGCCTTTTGTGAAGATAAGAAGGGATTCCTTGAATAATGTAACCTGATTTGCTGTCAGACCCATGGATTAAATGGGGTTTTGGTTATTTTCCATTCATTTCTATATCCCATCATTTAATCTTAGTTTAAAGCACTGATCTAAAATGGTTTTTTGCGTTGTTGTTTTTTGTTTTTTTTTTTTCGTTTGATATGGTGTGCTTTGGGGGGGGCCCCTCCAGTTTTTATTACTGAGATGTAATTGGCATATCATTGTATAAGTTTAAGGTGTGCAGTGTAATGATTTGAGATATGTATATATTGGGAAATGATTACCACAGTGTTTAATTATAACATCTATCACCTCACATAGTTACAAATATTTTGTGTGTGTGTGGGGTGAGAACTTTTAAGATCTGCTCTTTTAGCAACTTTCAAATATACAATACAGTATTGTTAACTATAGTTATAATGTGATATACTACATCCCCCAGAACCTAACTTATTTTAGAACTGGAAGATTGTACCTTTTGACCTTCAGCCAATTCCCAGTTATACTTTTCAATAATAACTGTCTTTCTAAACTTTGAATAATAACATTATTTATGACGTATTAAAGTAAACCATCAAGTTAAGCCTAACCACAGTCTAAATGAAAGTGTAATGAATTCTTGTTTTATGGAAAGCTTGTTCTACAAATATTTTCCACCTGATTTAGTTTTTATGAGTTTAAACTTGTATGAAAGATTACATTTCTTTTTTTATTTTATGACTTTATAGATCATGTACCTTCTTCAGGAGGTACAGTGTTTCTAGTTGTCTCCCTGTTTTTAATGTTACCAACTGTGATGATTATATTCCAGGTTAGTGTTTCTCAACTGGAGCAATTTGGCAATGTCTGAAGACATTTTAACACTGGGGGTGTGTTACTGGTGTCTAGTGGGTAGAGGCAAAGTATGTTGCAAAACATCCTACAACACATGAGACAGCCCCCCGCCACAATAAAATAATCTGACCCAGATTATCAGTATTGCTGAGATTGAGAAACTGTGAGATCGACTGGTTTATTAGGGGTTAAAAAATGATATTCTAATTCTTCATTTAGTAGTGAGAATGCAGATATAGAGACATTTCCCATATCAATAAATTATTGCCCTGAGGTACAAATCATATAGGAGAAGAGGCAGGATAATTACTTGATTCTTTCTCTTTATTTACCAGTTTTCAAAATAATAATTGATATCCAGCATCTTCCATAGGTATCTATATTATGTTTCAGAGTTTAGTTTGTGTTTGTTAGAGTGTCAGTATGAGCTCATGATGCTCAAACTGTCCTACCGCTGGCAACAGGAGCTTTACCAACTTGGGTCCGGAGTCTTTTCTGGTATGAAAAAATAGTCCAGGCTTGTTTTGTACATTTCCTGCCCTTAGCCTGCGATGGGACATTTCTCTGATAGCCCTTTTTCCTTTTAAATGGGAAGTGATATTTAGAGACCACAATCTGAGCACTAGGATAAAAGTTAACTGTAAAAGCCAAAATCATTGATTTAAAATTTTTTTCTGAGTGTGAAAAACCAGCTTTGAAGAAAGTTCTATTGTATCATGTTTTCCTCACTTTATTTTAAATTTTCTCAGTCTGATGACAAGAGAGATTACTCTGAGCAGCTCTTTTTAACGATACTTAAAATAAAACAGAAACTTGGGCTTCCTGATACATTTCATATGAATGTTCAGTGGCCAGACACTGCTTCCTTCAGTTTCTTAAGATAATTATTACCAACAGCTTTTTTTTTTTTAAAGGCTGTTTCTTGCCTAGATTTCAGTTTCCATCTGGTAGATTTCCTTTAAACCACAAAACACTGCTATTGAGAAGTTTACTACATAGTTTTTAAAAACTTTTTTTTTCTAGCTGATTTCATGCCAATATTGGGAACCAACCTAAATCCAGAGTTCATTTCAGTCTGCAATAATGCTACATGGGCAATTGGAGAAATCTCCATTCAAATGGGTAAGATTTTTTTCCCCTTTAAAAATATAAATTTTGATAATTTAATATTTTATAATGAGCATTATATATATGAATATTATTATCACAGTAAAGGGGGCAAAAATATTTTACATTGATATTTTAACAATGAAATTTTTCTTTTTTGTTTTCTCTTTTGGGAATGATCTAGGTATAGAGATGCAGCCTTATATTCCTATGGTGTTGCACCAGCTTGTAGAAATCATTAACAGACCCAACACACCAAAGACGTTGTTAGAGAATACAGGTACCATATGACTGAACTGTTACGGTGAAGAGAAAATTATTTGCCTTTCAATTTTACATTAAGATGTGTAGAGAAACTAAAGTAAAGCTAGCTTTAGAAACCCAGCTTATTAATTAACAGCTAATTTGTATTCTCAGTAATGAAATGTACTGTTTTAGCTTCATTCCACAGCCAGTTTTCAGAAACTGTCAAAAAAAAAAAACACTTTCTCCCCTGTTATAGTGTTTTAATACTCCCTAAAATGGGCCCCAACTAAAATAACTATTGAATGATATGAATTTTACTTTTACATTAATTTCAGAGAATACCTGGCAGTTGGGGAGTAATTTTTTTTTTTTTAATCTGTAAAAATGTAGCCAAAAATAGATTGCATTGTAGTGGCTAGTTCATTAATAATGGCATATGTATTTTTGTATTTTGTTGTATACTTTTCTTCAGATTGGGAACTTAAAGCAGTATCTTGTGGGATTTTTATTCAGGAGGCTTGTTTCTCTTCTGCATTTATAGAGAGCATGTTTATATTAAAGAGTACCTTCCATACTATAAAACACATTTCAGGGTGATTTCTTTCCACCCTCCCTGATTTTTTAAAATGTAAATTTTGTTTTCAATCAGGCACATCTTTTTCTTTATATACTAAGACAATTCCAGTAGTATATTCATAGTCAGTGAATGCCTTACCAATATTACTGGACAAAGAATCAAATAAGTTTTTCTAAATAAAAATTTATCTTCAAAGGTATTTTAATTTTACATTTTTTAATTATAGAAAGTTTATTATATCCTAATGTGATAATTAATGTGGTTATTGGTATGGAAGGAAATCTTTTAATTATGAAACAGTTATATGGCTGTTTGGCTGTATGGGTACTGTTTATATCATGAAGTGAATTAGATTTTCTTGCTGAAAAGTATAAAAAGCTATGTATAGGATGGTTATGAAATCTTGTCAGGTTTTTATCTCTTTAGAATGCAGTACCTATACATGACATTCAGATTTGAAACACTTGGCCATTATCAAATTACTGTTGAACCTTAAGAAACTTCCTATTTATTTTTAAATGTGAATGCATAACTGCAAATAAATGTTGAGTGTAATGTATATTAAAGTTTCTTGTGGGATATCAGGTGGTGAATTTGTTATAGTTCCGTGAACAAATTGGCTTTATATATAAGAATATATTCTAAGTATGAATCTACCCTAAGTAAATCAAAAGGTAGTTGATAATGCCCTTCAAGTTGATGGATTGAATTGATATGATTAAGAAACACACTTGGGATTCACTGTATTATTCTTATCACAAGTGACTGCAGAAAATGTTTCTTTTATTCCATCCCCAAAGGACGGGGGTGGATAATTATTAAAATAAAATCATTGCAGTGGGTAACATCTGTATATTTTAGCAACTTAATTACCATTATCTTAATTCATAAAGCCAATTCCTTAGTATATGCAGTTACTTGCTTTTTTTCTAATTAGTATATCCTACACTGAACTTTTTCAATGGACCATCATCTGCTTTATCGCATGTTTCATTGGGTTGTTCATACTTGCCTGTTTAATGAGAATGTTGCATAGTTTGTGTCTTTTGAACATAGGTTTTCTTTCTCTTGCTTCATATGAATCTGCTGGATTTTAGTATTATCTGTGTAGTTTGCTTCAAGTAATCCTTAAACATTTTTCTTTACCCCCCCACCCTTTTTTTATGAAAGGTTAACCTGTAAGTTTTTGAGAGAACACCATTAAAGCACCTCATGGTTTGTTTTCTGTTTGTTTTTTTTTTCCCGTTGTGTATAAATGTATTTATATGTAATGTACCTTTGAATTGCAGAATGCAGTTCTGAGTTGCACTTGTTTTAACTCTTTGTAAATTTAAGGACTTAACTGAATTTTGATGGTGAATATATGTTTGATTAATTCCCACTTCAAATTTTTAAAAATAAAATATTAACATGTAATCAGTGTGTTTTATTATCTATTATATGTGCTGTGCATTTTATAGCAAGGACAGAATATTTGTTCCTTTGGTCCACATATCACATGTCATTACAGTGGACTGTCTAAATTTCCTTTTTGTCAAACAGGGTTTGAAATTAGTGGACTATTTGAGTTGTTATCATCATCACCATCAGAGGTGGTTTTTTTGGAATGGGATTTGACATAGCACAGCAACCTTCCAATCCATTTATTCAGTATGTACCACAACACCTAAAATTTAATAGTTGATTTTGATATCAGGCAACAAATGGTCCACTGGCTTGTTTTGGAAATGCTGGCAAACAAACCAAAATTATACCAAAATTTTGATCAGATTCCTAGATAATTTTCAAAGAATGGAAATTACATAGAAAGCTACATAAAGAAGTGAGAAAGCTTTTAGCTGTTAACTTCTGAGAAGTGTGTTTGAATAGACAATTCAGAAATGTAATAATTTACATTTACTAGTATTTCTTGGGGGAGAAAACCTAGATTTCATTGTTAAACTGAAATTTCAACTGGCTTTGAAGGAAGAATCTAAATCCATCTGTTTAATCGCTCATCATTTTATTAACAGAATATCTTGACGATTGAGCGAGAAAGGCAGTTCATCACGGTTTTTGGTGTTCTCTCAATCTTTAAAGTTTTTTTAATTCCTTTTGTTTTTCTTTTTCCAAGAGTATGCCATATATGTTGCTGCCCCTTATTATAGGGGGTGGTAATAAACAGCACTGGTGAAATCTTATGTTTATTATCATACACAAATTCTGTTGGTTTCTGTTTCTGAGTTATTTGTTGTTTTTTCTTTATTTTTTCTCCTTCCCCCTCATTTGCTCATGTCTTGGTTGGCGTTTGGTGGTGTATAACCGTGATTGCGTTACCTTAGCAATAACAATTGGTCGTCTTGGTTACGTTTGTCCTCAAGAGGTGGCCCCCATGCTACAGCAGTTTATAAGACCCTGGTGTGTATTATTCAATCTTTTTTTTTAATTCATTTTTCTTCACTCTTTCTTTCTCTTTCTATCTCACTTTTAGATATATTTTCAGTTGGTTACAAAAATCACAATCCTTTATCATTGCCAACCATGTGACTAATCTTGTCCTATCAGGTTTGTGAGGTTTTTCAGTAGCATCGTCATGTATATTTATTTTATGTTGTGGCTAACGACTAATTGATGCATGGGATAAGATTGTCACATGCTTGCTGTGTTAAAAAGCTTGATTATACATAAAAAGCATTTAAATATCCACCAGTAAAATAAAGATGCATGCAAATTCTATAAATTTAGGTTTTTGCATTGTTTCTTTTTTAGAATTAATTTGAAAACTTGGATTGCATTAAGAAATACATGTTTAAATTTGTTATGTATAAAAATCTTATTTGCTTGTTAATGTAAAAATTAAACATCTACATCATAAGTTGTATAATAATAGTTTCTACTGTGGCAGTATATCCTATGTTCTGCTTCTTTCGATTGACAGTCTTTCAATTCAAGACATTTTTAGTAGTGTTTAATGGAATACAAGTCATAATACAGTTTTAAAAATGGGTAATTTACTCTTGGATCAAGCTCATTAATAGTTTAAATGGGAAATTAAAATCATTTTTTATTACTTAGATGCAATTGATTAGTAAGACTTGTGAATTTCAAGGTTTTCACTATATTGAGATTAGATGGGCCCAACATAATATAGTAAGTGTGAGAAACTTAAGCTTTATGAAAATTCTTTGAATATAAACATTATCTCTACTCTGGTGCTTATTCCATTAAATACTGTCCATTAGTATTGTAGTTGAACCTGCTTTTTACTTAAATGCTAAACTCAATTCTATAATTTAATAGGTGCACCTCTCTGAGAAACATAAGGGACAATGAGGAAAAGGATTCAGCATTTCGTGGGATTTGTACCATGATCAGTGTGAATCCCAGTGGAGTAATCCAAGTAAGATGTTCAAAAGGATTTAACTTTTAATGTTCTGAATTATGAAACTTGAAAGTTTAAACTATAATTATTAAAAACATTACCTATTTTTACTGAAGATACTGAAACAAATTATGTTTTAAATGTGTATTTCCTAATATCTTGAAATGATGATGCCTATTTTTATTTCCTAAATGTTTTTTTGGTCCTGACATATAATAACAGCAGATTGGGAGAATAAAAGTTATATTCTTGACTTGAATTAAGCCAAAGCTTCTTTCATTCACATTCAGACATCATTTATTTACTTTGTAAATGCTTCCTAAAACCGTGAATATCAATTTGCTGAGTTTGAGGCTCTCTGCACTTCAGAGGGTGATCAAATAGTAGGATACTCTTTCTGTTACTTAGATCAGAATAAAATAGAATACTGAATCAACCATTGAAACTGCTTTAACTTTTGAGAGTTTATGATTTAGTGATTTATTCATCCTTAATTTCATTTCTTACGCTATTTCATACTATATTTAGACATCTTTAGCCTTTAAAAAATTATTTGGCAGCAGTACTAAACGTGAATCTGATCAAACCTCTGGATCCAGCTGACACACAAAACATAAAGGGATGTGTTGATTTACACCAGATCTATGAAATCAACAAAATACAGGCTGTGGGGCTATAGGTTAAATGCCCCAGGTTCCTCAACAGATAAATTGTAAGGAAAAGAAAGTATGGGAGGGGTTTTCCAAAAAATAAACTTTCACTTTCAAGGGATAGGTGCTTTGAACATTTTTTAACTGAGACCTTTTGATACTTCCTATCTCACGTTGACTACTGTGTTGTTTGTTAATTCAGGTTTAGAAACATTGGTAAATACCAGCTTATAAAATTCAAAATTGATGTAGGTGATAGGCATTGAAAACATATGAAGTAGAACTGGAAAAAAATCTTTTGGCTAATTTTAGATTTGTATAACATTAATAACTTACTAGTAAAACAAGCCATTACTGTCTTAAAAAGATGGTCCCTAGTTGCAAAATAACCTCCTGGCATTGAGTTTCTGGGTTTTTTCCAATACTTAAGAACTTTGTGTCACCTTTAATACGTTTTAGAGGTATCTGATGTGGTATATACCATATTAAGAAGGAACATTTTCATACAGGGGTGTTTTTTTTTTGTTACTGTTGTTTTTCCTTTTGCATTAACATTTAAGACAGTGATAGTAACATGTGTGGTCATGAAATCACTACTAACTTAAAAGTTGGTATAAATTTCTACTTTTTACATACTTTATTTGGGTGTGGTTAAAAGAAAATGTCTGAAGTTTTATTTTTTATGTTTAAATTTTTAATCACAAATTCTACATGTATTTATAATTTAAATTTTTAACATCAGACTTTGATACTCAGAAGACACAGGAATCATAATTTGAATAAACCATAAACTTTGGGCACATGGTATTTTATTTGCTTAAATATGTGTTTTATGCACATATTTTAGTATTAGTGATTTTTTTTGAAATTAATGAGGTTTTCTGAATTTAATAGTAAAATTTAAAGTAGTTGTACATCAGCAGTATCTTGTATGTTGTATGTTGAACTGTTGTTTCAGTAAGATAGTCGAACTTGAGAAATACTTACATGAAGTATTTCAAGCATATACCTGTCATCACCTTGTTCTTTTAGTCAGAATAACGTGATTATCTTTTAAATAATAGTCTGAGCATTGGGGGTTTTGTTTGTTTGAGTTGGGTTGGGCTGGGTGCTGTTTGTAACTACATAATTTTTCTTCTAACTTATCATTTCATTTACATTTCTATCTGGAGGTGGATCTTGAAATTTAGATCTATAAATTCTTATGCTTTAAGTCAAACTTGTTTGGTATATACTTAACTAGCTTTGAATTATTTCTAGGCCAATCAGAACTGTAAAATTATTGAATTTTATATAATTCCATAAATGAAGATTTTTTTAAACTGGTGCTTATTTGATGCGCTCAGTCCTTGCTGATGCTACACATTTACTAGACTGGGGTTTTGTAATTTAAAATGAAATATTGGGTTGGCCAAAAAGTTCATTTGGGTTTTCCTGTAGCACTAAATTCCAGTATAAACTGAGTAAGTTAGAGGTTCCTTGATGGTGGAGTAGCAGGGACAACCATTAAGAAATTACTTTAATTCCTTATTATAGCTGTTTAAAAAAGTTTTTTTTTTTACCTAGGATTCTGTTGATATATATTCTGAAGTTTACATGTATCTTTTGTTGTGTTTGACAAATACAGTATCAATTGAAGATGTATTTCTTGCTTGTTATAGGATTTTATATTTTTTTGTGATGCTGTTGCATCATGGATTAATCCAAAAGATGATCTGCGAGACATGTTCTGTAAGGTAACTAAAAAGTCTTTATGATGCACATCATGTGACTGTTACATAGTTGGGAAATTTAAATTATGTTTTTATTTCACATGAAACTTAGACTCTTCAAATCAGTACTGGTAGACTATATAACCTTTGTTCTTGGTAATAAAGAAGTTGACTTGATCTTTTCTTAAATATACAGTAGTGACTTTGTATCAATAGAGCATGTATTTTAAAAATATTTTCTCAAGCAGTACCACTGATTCATGAAGTCCTGTTATCCCACCTATGCAAAATAGCATGTATTTTCAAAGATGGCTGACTAAGATTGGCGTATAATACAACCTGTTGAACAAAGTAAATCTAACTGGTCACAGCAAGGATTAAACCTGTGTGTTTGTTTTAGTAATGCCCCTTGTCGTTAACTCCAGTCAGCCCTCAGCCATAACAAAATAAGAAATAAAATGCTGCTACACATTTGAATTACCTAATATTAAAATTAGTGAACTATATAGTTGCAATTACGAACTCCCAAAGCTTTGTATATTTTCAATTTGAATAAACTTAATAAGGCATAAAAATTTTAATCCCTTGGGTGAATGCTATACCTTTTTGCTTGCTTTTCATTACTACTGTGTCAGATTGCTTAGAGTACTTCTGTTACTAGGACACTTGCTGAATTCTAACCTTCTCAAAGCAAAGTGCAGCATATTCTATGAGGTGATTTTAGGCAAGACATGGAAAGGTGTAGAATTCAACAAAGTTTGAGAATAACTGCTTTAATAGGGGTAAAATTTTAGAATAATAAAATCAGTAGTGTTTGATTTCAGAAGCTATGCAGATATGAGAGTTTCTCTTTTGTTATTGATAAATTAATGATTTTTTACTTTTTTGCAGATCCTTCATGGATTTAAAAATCAAGTTGGGGATGAAAATTGGAGGCGTTTCTCTGACCAGTTTCCACTTCCCTTAAAAGAGCGTCTTGCAGCTTTTTATGGTGTTTAATCTCATACACTTAAGCTGCAGTCCCATAATTAGGGGTAAGTTGTAAGAAATTTGGAATTTTCTAGGATGAAGAAACTTAAGTTAGGACCTCAGTCTGAAACTACTGAATAAAAGCTGTTTGTTTTCCACAGAGGTTGAGTAAAACAGTATCATGTTATATTTGACTTAAAATTACTTACATGGAGGCTGGAGATTGATTGATTGATGAGCCAGCAAGCAAGATAAAATACATGGTTCCACTTTGAATCCTAGGTAGAAGGAAATCCAAGTTTGTGTACTAGTTGGATTACTCACCATTTCTTCAACCAATCCTTTTTTTAATTTTTGCCCTTTAAAAGGTCACTGACATTCACTGTGGCAGGGTAGAGATTCATTTTTAAAGCATGAATTTATAGTCTCATATATCAAGGACTTCCTATGTTGTGAGCTTTAGGGAAAACCCAAGTAGAATTGGAACTGGATTTGGTCTCAGTAAATAGGAATATTTAATATTTATTCTTCATATTTTATTGAGCACCTTCCTCGTTCCCAGCACTGTGTTTTTAAAAGATCAATGGAAGATTCTTTTTTGATTTGGGGTGGTAGAGGGGTAAGTCCACCTGCACTCTTGTTCTTTGAGTTTTTCTGACTTAAGTCAAACTAACAGTTCTGGTCTTTTAGCCTTAGTTTCCTCGTTAGGTTATTTTGAGGATTAAATACTATTCTATATGTGGTGCCAGGACTTCGTATATTGCCTAACACAGTAAGTTGGCTCAATAAATATCAGTAATATGGGTTAGTACAGTGAGCCAGGACGCACTTCATTAGTTTTTGAACATGAACTGAGACCTGTTCAACTGGAGGGTCAGAGAGTGTACCCAGTGTGTGTTAAGAAGGCATAAACTTACTTGAATTACCTTGTATGTTGGAGTTTCTGTTTGCATGCTTGCTTCTTTACTCTGAGCTAGATTTTAAACCTGGAAAGATTTCAACATCTAAGTTGACTAGCCTAAAAGGGCAGTAGAAATGGGCTTTGTAGCCTCTGGAATGTCTCAGAGCCCTGTGTGTGTTGTCCCACAGTGGTCTTAAGCATCCTTATGGCTGTCTTGTGGCTTTAGCATTTTAGAGAAGTGCTTGATTCACTTTACGTTAAATCATGAGAATACAATAGATGAGAAATAACTTTTAGCATCAAGGGCTAAATTATTCAACAGTGAGCTGAGTCTTGAGCACTTTGGGGTTAATAAATCTGATTAATAAACCCTATGTGGTCTCTGTCATTTCACCAGTTATGAATTAACTGTGGTGATCTTCATAAATGTCCAGAGTTTCGCAGGAGTAGTTAAAAGTTTTGTTGTGAAAGGACAACTGTCAGGTACTAGTTACAGTCTCCCAGTAATCTACCTTTATTTCTTAATCTTCTCATAATTAAAACTATGCTAGCATTGAAAAAGTCTTTATCAGGAAAATCAAGAGGCCTGAGAGTATAGGACATGACTGAGTAAAATAAGTCACGCTCTTTTTTTTTGCTTAACATTGGGAATACTGGCAAAAATGATAATGTTTTAATTCTCACTAAGAAAAGTGATTGTCCTAAAGAAAGTGCTAACTTAATTTTGAAGAAAGCAAGACAGCTTGTTATATAAGAAATAATCGGCTCCCATCGGGACCCATTGTGCGAACGAGGATAGATAATTAGACTGATGGCAATCTACAAGGGGTAGTTCATCTATATTTCATCTGTATAAAGCGCTGCACACCTCTCTGTGCATGTCCCCAGCTTGGCGTCACTTTTCGTATCTGATACAGGTGACAGTTGAGAGCTGCAGGAGAAGGGAGCAACATGGTTCTCATTGACAAGTGTGATCTTAGGCAATTTGTACAGTTTCTCATTTTCTTTAGGTGGAGATAGCATTGCTACTTGATTAATTTTGTGTTCCACGGGCTTTAAAAGAAAAACAATTTTACGTATAAAATTGTTTTTGTTTTCTTACAGGTCCTTCAGTCTTGGAGACTATGAGGGAGCCTCTGCACCCAGGGAAAATGTTACCCTTTACAGGGGGGAAGGGTAAACCAGTAGGGAATACAGTACAATCCCAACCCTACTGGGAGGGGTGGGAGGGAGGTGTTGCCGTCACTGTATTAAGTCGCTGTTGGGAAACGTTTTAACATCTGGAGCCTTTGTGGGTGGAAATCTGTCTCCAATTACAACTCTGCACTGGATGTGAAGAAGCAAAAAAAAAAAAGAAAAAGCTATTCAATCTACTCACAAAACAGTACATTCTGGAATATTATGGGGAATTGTACCAAAACAAGAACCATATAAATGATGCATAGGAATGAGAAAGAGGAAAAATTCTATAGCGCACAATAAAGGAAACCTAAGAATGAGGATTAGAAGACAGTAAAGTTTTGGGGTTTTTTTGGTTTTTGTTTTTTTTTTTTTAAAGGTTTTTATAAAATTTCCCACATTGATGGGGCCTTGTTTTTGCATGCTGATGAAGAACTACACAAATGAAAGCTAATAAGAGTTAAAATCAGCTTGCCTACCCATAATAGTAGAAGCAGGTTCTTGGAAGTTACAATTTAAGGTACCCCGAAAAGTTGGAAATAAAACAAAACAAATATAAACAATGAAGCACCCTGTGAAATGCCAAATGAGTCACTCCTTTTACCTTTGTGGGGTGGGCAGGGAGGGAGGAATAAATGGGGTTGGACATATCAAACTAAAGATTGACATCTTGATTTTGCATTAAGACATTAATGTAGTGGATATAATTTGATGGTTGTACTTCATTAGATTTAATTTCTAGGCCAAGATGTTATTTTTAAAGTGCAGTTTAAGGTTCAGGCATGCATTCTGGCTCATAGTGATTGAAAGTACTTTAAATTAGTGGGAGAGTAGCATGCTTGCATCACATAGAGTGAGATTGGTATTCAGTTACCTCTGTTGCGCCAGTTTGTGTTGCAGTTTACCAGTTCAATATAGCCCTGCATTTAAAATTCCTTTTTAAGATTTGTGGATTTTATTTTTATTAAGAATATAGATATAAAGTACTGTAGTTTACAGCTAGGCCTTGAAATATCTTTTTTAGGAACTGTTAGGAATAAGATTGATATTGTATTGTGTGTAACCTGCACAATGTGGAAAGCTGATATACCTGTGCAAAATCTTTGCCTCTGTGCTGTCAGTGTGATGTGCTTTCTGCATGGTTATATACTACTAGTGATTTTATCAAAACTTCTAAAACTTAAATTACATGGTAAAAGATCTGTAAGAGGCTGCATAAATGTTAGTTGGCACATAAAGACAATTGTAGAAGTTGAAGACATGATTGCTATATTTCAGTGTTTATTCCCACTCAACATATTGCCTTCTAAGCTTTCTTTTTTTGTTCAAAGCATGATCTTAAAGATGTGTTTAAGTTAATGGATGTAATGCAGGGTTCCTACACTGTATTGGCGCATGTTGGTGGCCCTCTGTGCCCTAGATATATGCACACAGGGTGCAAGTAAAAAGCTACAGAGTGAAAGTTGGTTTGGATCCTCTTCATTTCATTTGTTTAGCTTTTCTGTTATTTTTCTCTACTTACATGTATTCCTGTGAATAAATCCTTGTTAAGTTAACCCTTTACTTTTCCTTCCATGTGTATTTTCTTATATACTGTGAATGTGAAAACCTAACTGGTACACTTGATCTTGTGTCCATATGAAAGTGCAAGTCTTTATTAATTTGGATTGCCTGAACAGTGTATCCCATGATGAAGGAAAATGGAGAGATTTTTCTTTTTAACTCTGCTGGTCAGAGACGAAGCCACACCTTTCCATTTTTCAATGCTGCATATTTAATCTGCAACAGAAATGTTAAGCCATAACAACCTTTTTATATTTTAGTTTGTCACCTTCGCATTGCAGAATAAATACTGAATAACCGTTTTTGTAAGCAGTTGCTCCTCTTTGCATGGTTCTGTTCCTCTGAAGGTGTTGAATGATACAGCCATTGCACTGAAGTCTGAGCTGTATGTGTGTGAATTTATAAGTACCATTTCAAAAAATTTCAGATGCATGGTAGCATGCAGAAAGGTTTTTGTTGTGTGTGTGTGTGTGTTTTTATTTTTAACATGTTCTTTCACCTTCTTTCCTCTACTTTGGCTTTGCAAATTTCAGTCTGTAGAGCCTGAAATTAAATCATATTTTTACTGTACAGTTTTTTTTAAATTGTAAGTTGGATCCAAAGGGTATGTAGCATTTTGCTTTCTAGTACCATTGCCTCACTGGGAGCTCAAAATTTGCTTCCTAGTTAGTCTTTAAAACCTGATTAGGGTGGCTATTTTATCCTTAAATTCTAGTGATATACTGTAGTTTTCCAAAACATTTTAGAATTTAATATGGGAGATATTTTAATATTCTGGAATAAGTAGTAGACATTTTAAATGTTTAAAGAAATTTAAATTCAGAATTCTCCTGAACAGTTTAAAATGAACGTACAAAAACAACCTTCAATAAAATCTGGACCTGTGATTGCCAATTCTCTATTGACTGAAAAGCATTGATTGTTGTTACCTATTGGATTGAAAAATTAATTTCTAATTAAGCAGATATGTAACATAAGAATGTGCCCTTTTTTGTAGTCACTTAACGTGTTTTTAAATTAAAAGGAAATATAATTTAAAAATACAAAATACAAATAAATATGACTGACAGCCTGAGATGGGGTTGGGTTTTTTTGGGGTTTCCCCCTTGAGGTTATAGTTTCTTCCTAATTATATTTCAGATACATAGTATAACATAGGAATTTGCAGAAGCCATTTAAGTTATCTTTTGAGGTAAGCTCTGATTTAGCATTCTGATAAAACTTAATACATCATGGGATATATATATAAAGCAACTTAATTCTTGTGGTGTAGTCTTAATAGTTTTGAATGTTGACTGAATGTCTATGAAATTGTGAGTTTGTCTTTGTTACATTCCAGTGTTTCTGCCTCTTGGCATGCTTAAAAGCACGGCTTACTTCATCTGCTCCTTACACACTAAAGTGCTGTTAGTGTGCTCAACTACAGACATAGCCGCTGCTAAGTGATGTAGATTTTCTACTTGAATATTTTTATGTTGTAGGAACCTCAGGAGGTCAGTGTTTACTGTTTTATATATGCCTTCTTTTTCCTGTTTGAGCTTCTCTCTTTGAAGGATTCTAACAGAACAAAAGCTGCTGATCAACCTAAGTTGGAAACAGAAAGTGTATTTAATATAATTTAAATGCATGTTTGGCAGTTCCATGTTACAGTCCATTAGTAAGTGAACTTAGTGCCACAGATATTCATTTATTCAGGAAAGAATTTTGCTTTTTGTAGTGTCTAATCTCTTTAATAACTTCATACTGTGTAAAAAAGAAATCACTTTTTTATATTTTTTGGTTGGTTATTTTCCAAATAATCAACATGTAAATAATCTTTAAGAGCCAGTTCTGATGCTTTACATTATACTGCTACTTGATTTTGTTATGTAGGTTGGATTTCAGAAGAATAGATTTTAAAACACTTAACCAAGCCATTACATCTTAAAAACAAAATAAGTAGCATACATTTTGTAATTAACATTGATAAACACTGTGATTTTTTTTGTTAAGACTTTTTCATTGACCTGAATTGCTTAAATTGCATATATTGTAAAATAGGATCAGATGTATATTTTAAAATAATTTCAACTGACTTTCCTCTATTGAAATGCTTTGTCTACTCAGTTATAAAATATTCAGATACAAGTTTTATCTCAGGTGAATACTCTTGTATCCTTCTTGCTTTGGTGACATATGCTTATAAAGAGTCATCATACTTAACAGTCTTTGTTTTTTTAGTGTATTTCATGAAGAATCTTTCCATTTAGTCTGATTTTCCAATCCTTAATTCTTGCAGACTGTGGTGGTATAAGTCCTTCCTGGCGAGAATTCAATTTGGTTCTCCTTTTCTCCAAACTCTAAGATAGGAAAGTGGAAATTTTTTCTGTCATATATTAAATTACCCTGCATAGCTGAAATGCCAGAATTAAGCTATGTCTTAAACCTTTTAGTCTAAATTTAATTTAAATCCTTTGCCATAAAGAAAAAAGTGGGATTTTTTGCTTTATATAGTTAACCTATATTATTCATATTGAATGTATTAACAGATAACGGTGCAAAAACATTCTTCCCAAGAGAAGAGTGTATCGTGCATAACTGCAATTTAAGTCCTTCCTTTAGTAGTACTTTACACACAGCTTTGCTTATTGAATTATTTTTGCAAGTAATACAGGGGGGAAAACACTTAACTGTCGCTACTAGTACTGTTACTGAAATGTAGGCATTGAAATCTTGATGAAAACTGTGGTCTTCAGATTAAGGGCCTAAAATAATCTAGATTAAAAATCAGATCAATAAAGAGCTGTGTAACAATATTATCTAGTAATAATAACATGCAAGAGCATTGTATACCTACTTAGTACCTAGTCATACTGTATTAAATATGGAGATATTTCTAATGCCTCTTAAAAATTCAATTTTACGTGAAAGTTTCATTCACTTGTACACTTTCCAGGTGACTTGTGACTAATTTTTTCAGTCTTATGTAGATCTCCCCCCATTGGTATTATAGAGGATTCTTTATCTTTATGCCTAATTATTATGCTTATTAATTTTAAGGTATACATTTAAATTATAGCAACTGTTTATTGTGATTTGTATCCCAGAATGTATTGTTTTTGTTTTTTTTAATGTATGCATGATTTTGAGGGAAGTTAAAATGGTGATTATTTTTTTCACCTCTTGTACATTTTAAAGTCAAACCAAATCTATTTGCCAAGCAGTATATCACTAATTAGGAAAATAGGATTTTCCCGTTTATTACAATTTTTGTTCATCTACTATAGAACCCCCTTAACTATGGCTTGTTATTATTCACAGTTAGCTATTTTGCAAGTTCAGTTATCTTCCTAAAAGCTTACTGTAACATGGTTAGCCTATAAGGCAATGTTGGTTCCCTCCTAATACCAGCCTCATAAAGGGGTTCTGCTGTACTTTCCCCATATTGCTTCATTGTTGTTTTTCCTCTGTGGATATATAACCAAATTAAGATTGGATGAATTTTATGGAGATAATAATAAGGCAATACTGTGTAAGTAATTTTGCTTAATAGATTATCATCTGTGAGAAGAGATGTTTAAACGTGGTTGATGACTTCACTTCATATTATAAAACAGTTTTACACTTAATATT